TGCGGCGAGGAAATGAATTTGTGACATGAAAAGTCGACCAAAGGACTTGGACACCGTAATAAAGGTAAGATGTTTGCTACTAAAAAGTTGCAAGCAGACGATTTCAATGAAAGTAGTTATTCACGAGGTAAGAAGAGGACCAAGAAGTGAATCGTTGGTTGCAAGGTACATAATTATAGTGACCATGAGTAAACTTGTGGTGGAAGAAGTTAGTGGCTATATAAGGTAAGGACATCGGTTTACAAGAAGAAAAAATAAATGGTGAAGAAATTTACGCGTCTCAAAACATTGTTGATTACAGTCTTAAAATTACTGTTAACATTGGGAAACATATTCAAGAATACATTTAGTAAATATTAAGTTAGTCTGTAAGCCTATATTTCTCGGTTCTTACAACATGTAGCATGTCTTATCCTTTTCTATAAACGATTTCAGTAATTTTATGGGCAGTCATTAAATCGAATATGTTTTTGTTTATTTGACACATCAACGTTATAATGTCAACGTTTTACGGCTCATTTATGACATTAACAATAAACGTTCAACTTTACAGCTCGTTAATGATCAACATTATACTTTGTCCAATCACATTGTAGTATTTTCAAATTTCTGCTAACTTTGGTTAATGTGTACTAACTAAATAAAATTTACTTAATCCGTCGTCTAACCAGTCTAACTAATTTCAACACTAATCTATGCCTATTGATCATGTTAAACTAATACATATGTTTAATACACATGTGTTATGGTATCTTATGCCTTACAAAGTTACAATACAGTTCTTCTGGAAGGTTAAGACGTCGACAATAAAGTTTTTTTTTAATCTTCCAAAAAGCGGTGTTGTATGATTTGTCAACAAATAAAGACAAAATATAAATATTAACAAGCTTATGTATGTACTACCACACGCATTTATCAATTAATATCATGTACTGTTTACATAAGTGATGACAATTATAACACATTATCTTGTAAACGAAAACGTATTTTGATGGCGGTGACAAGTGGTCAATTATTGGTCAGGAAATTCCACTTTTCCAAAGTTCGCTTAATTGAAATGTTCGTAAGTCATGGAAAAATCAAAGTATTCAAAGTGAACGCCCAATTTGTAAGAAAAATGACACCTAGTGCTGGGATTTTTTTGTTTGTTGTTTTTTGTTGTTGCTTTTTTGTTTGTTTGTTTTTGTTTTTTTGTTTTTTGTTGTTTTTTTTTTGTCAAATAAATAACACGTGTTCGAAGTTCTAAAATCAGGCTGATCAGCTAATTCACGATGGTTAGCTCTATTAATCGAAGCGATGTATCAGCGTAAAACGTATGGACGTTTACGTAAACCCTCCTGCCTGGACGGTCGATCTTGTTGCATGTGTATATAATGAATACAGTTCATGGGGACTTTTTGCGCGCCTTGGGCTACAAGAATGAAAGTTCCAGTATATAAAGATCCCTGGCAATCTGTATGTACAGACTAACATTGCTATAGAGAAAGTATACAACAATGATGAAAGTAGCCCGACATATGAATAAAACATGGTAAAAACAACACATCATCTAGTAAAAATCCACTGTGCTAGACCAGGGTCTTTCAGATTGAATCGGTTCTATTTGAAAGACCCTGGCTAGACAGGCAAACCAACATGGGGTACAACTGTTTTATCTTACGGTGCGCATTCTTGAGTGTTTCGTATAAATGTATGTAACGGCTCAGTAAATAATTTACATCTCACGCGCTATTCAAATGTGTCCGGCAATAAAAACATTTTACTAGTCATTCTTTTTCATCAATAAAAATAGAATACCAAAAATACGAACGTTATCAAATGGTACTGATAAATAATTTGTTACAGAATACAAAGAATTCCGATTTATAAATACATGTCCATATTTCAGGAATCGATAATGTTGACTCAGAGAAATATGTTACAATGTCTAGAACGATCAGAGTGACTCACTCTACATCATATACACGCCTCGTAATCTTCTCTTGGAATTCGTTTCCGTTTAAACTGATCCAGCGATTTATAAGAGTATATATATTTTATAAATGTTATTTTTCTATTAAATATAATAAATAAGACAGTATAATTTGCTAACACATTTCCACTTTAATTTAATGCACCAGTGAGTTCTAAATGCGATAAGGATGTAAAGCAGTCTCCTATTTTCTAGTAAATGCCATCACTTCAAAACCGAACCAATAAATCGGGCAATCATTGACACACAGTCCGACAATAAAAACTCTACATTTTCAATTATATTCTTTTATAATTCTACTTGTACTAGACGGACAAATACGACTGGAAGAACAGAAAAATCATATTGAATACTAGTGCTATCTGATACGCCATTTTGATCTCTGAGGGACACTTCTCTCACGTGTAGACCAGATAACACCCGGTACAATCTTTACTAAGATATATTTGAAAGGTAAGTGTAATACCAACATACTAAATATATTTAAACACAGCTGATAGTAAACGTTTTATACATTTTATTATATTTCATTACGATTATAATTTCATACACTCGCAGTCCTACTTTAATATTCTCATAGTTTATCTGTATTAATATTCTCATAGTTTATCTGTATTATAATAGAGTCCTATAAAAGGAAAGTTTAGACATTATTCAGGGTCAGTCACCAAGTTTAACCTTTGATGTAAATGCATGTATGCTCTTTTGTTCCGAGATGAAGCGGAAGTTAAGGCTTGCTTTGGGATTTTTATATTTATTCTAATAGATAAGTGGTTTGTAACAAAGTCGAATTCTTCCTTGTTAAACTGAGCAAAATTAAATTTTGCCTAAAACAAAGATGAAGACGACATTTACGTATCGTGATCGCATCAAGAGCTGATTTAAGATCGGAATACATTCAGTACGATGAGAAATCAATAAAAATAACTTTAAATTTAATATATCAGCCAACAGACGTTATGTCTTATATAGATTTTTTTCATTTTAACATAAATTATTTTAAGAATATACGTATGAAAAGAATGCGCTGACATGACACCTGTCTATACTAATTTGTCTATCAAACTGACCACTGTCTAATACTGTAATATACACATACTTAGACCTTGACAAGTAGCAAATTGATTTACTGTAAATGACTATAACACGCCTTGAGCAATGTTAAAAACGTTTGAATCACACATTTATACAACAAATTAAATGTTGTAAATTATCCAACTAGTTTCTTACGATATAGCTAGTTTGCAACTCACTAAACAGTTTTTATTTATTTTTTCACATTTCTTTGTTTCATCTTCTCTTCTATCAGTTTTTTTATACTGTCTTATGGAATATTTTTGACATAAATGTATCCTTTCATATTTAGACACTTAGGATACTATATCATTTACAACATTAGCGAATTTAACAGGGAACGGTATATGCCCCACCCACAATCGGTCCTTTCATATATACTTTCAGTGGATTTTTTTATGTACAGGGAGTATTAGTGTCCTATAAATGAACCAACATTCAGGGACCTAGCTGTTGTTTCTATTTGGGCATTTGAAATAAACACTTATTTAAGAAGACACTAATGTATGTATCCACGCATAAAATACAGAAACAATATCGTTAAACATAACGGTAGGCCATGGCCTTAACTTTTTTTGGCGAGCGAATTCTTCCAAAGGGTTAGAAGTGATTTATAGACTGTAAGACTGTAAAGAAGCTGCAGACCCTGACAACATGGCGCAGTGAAATTTGATGCAATGGGAACGAAACAAACAACATAAGCGCTATAATAATAAAATTTTGTGATCGTAATATTATGTAGCCCGAATTATTTAGCGTATTTGTTACATTCCCACGCATTCAGTACATTACTCAAGAGCACGTGAGTCAAGCGGAGTATACATGTACATGACATTTTAAACAAGAAAATAATAACGTTAACAAGTGAGACTTGGAGGGAAAAAACATGCTACTTTCATGACGGAAACGACTAAAACACAAATATATCTGATTGTTTAATATTTATACCAATTTACTTGTCTACATGTAGATCTACATAATTATAGTGACACAGTAAGTATTGTGTAGGCAGTGGGCATATTGTTTGACCAGCAATATAAACATGGGCGTGTATGATGTATGACATTTTTGTGGCATGTTTTCATCATCAATCGCCATTCCGATCATTAAGCAACATAATAACAATTTACTAAAATATTGACAGCTAAGGACAAATAGATACATCACATGCACATGACTCATGGTGAACATCAACTCATTCATACCTAGTCAAACGTTTTATTTTCAAATAACAAGAGAATGTATCATTGCGTCAGTTTATGCTAATACATACGAGATAAAATCGACTCATGCATTTTAAGATTAAAAGAGTGTCGCTATGACCAGAAGAAATTAAATCAAGTCAACCTACCAAATATAACAGTGACAGCTGGCCAAATTGATGCAGATACTATATAACGGATCTAGCTTACTTAAATATCTTACACAGACTTAAATTTTAGAGACTTTTCAAATATAAGTCATCTTTATTAAGCTATCCTGTCACATCAGGATATCATTAAAACTTACATAAAATACAACATTATAACCGAGCAGAGAGTGGTTTTTAAAATAAGTCTTGTCTGTCTTTTCTCCAAGTTTCTCAAAAATGTAAATTATTATGTTAAATAGGATTACAATGTTCTTCGAGTATTACTCATATAATATGACGAATACCGCGCAAACATTACGACACTATGGGGATTAAATAAGACCCGAATAAAGAACGTAAAATATTTGCGTGTAATGTATTTTATTGTGTAACATGGATTGTGAAGCTAATTGATTCCATGTTTCAGCTGACGACTTCTGCAGAAAGTTCAGCCTTGATGCGCGCATGCTGGAAGCATTGCGCAGTGACTCAGATAAATTAATGTCATGTCGCCTTTAGAAATTATTGAATATTTAAATGATTTTGATAATTTTGAAAATATTAAAGTTATTTCATTTAATTGTTCATGTTAAGTTAACTTACTTGTTGTTTCGGTAGCTCCTTCCATATTTTTCAGAATTATTTCTGTTTGAAATTTATCCAGACAACACTTACACCCTGTCGTTCGTACGCTAGCAGACGCTGAATCGGAAAATTATAGCATACTGAAAACGAGGCTCACAGCACACGCCACCTAGCGGGAAGATGACACATAAAAAAAAAACGCTCCAATTTAATACACGGGAACTAACTGCAAATAACAGATTAGTTTTAACATTGGAGAGTGACATTGAATATAATAAGAAATTATCTTTAATAATTTACTTGTCATTCTTGTTAATGGTGGTGTTGTTGTTGTTGTTGTTTTTAACAAACTAACTAGAATATAATAAGACTGCAGAAAAATGTTTAACAAGATACTGTAACCGTGGTTTAAAGAAAATATTGCCTTTGAAAAAATTCAGGTGAAAAGCGAATATATATATGTAAAATTTAAAATCAAATACTAAAGAGAAAATAATAAAGAAAGAGTTTTCATCAAAAAGATTGTTGTCAGGCATATACATATGTAGCTGTGCCATGCATCTTAACAGCATTGCACAAAATACGACAAATAATCACATATTCGAATATCATATCATAATTATATAATGAATTCAACAGTTCAATACTGAATTTATTTAACGAGTTTTTAATGAGCGCGTCTTTACGCAAAAAATGTTTGTATAACGCAAATGACGTCACATTAAAATATATACACGGCCGTGCAATACCGTTTTAAGGAGTCGCAAAGCGGTATAAGCATGTGAAAAAATTAAATATGGCACCGGTCTGCCCAAGAGGCATCTATGCTTTAAGAGTAATCGTTATGCTCTAATTCGTTACACTCAAACGAGCATAAATCATTTACATTCTTTAATAATACACCTTTGAAATAATAAACAACACAACACAGAGTTTAAAGAGGCTAGAGGGAGTATTTGTAAGCCGTCGAATTCTAAGCAAATTCATCTGTTAAAAAATGCCAAATACTTCGTGTAAAGGTAAAGAAATATAAACTTTCCAATATAACTGAATAATAGAGTTTTGTAAAAACAGAAGTTTTTGGAAATGTTCGAAAAGTCAGGTTGCTGCGAGCGGGATACCCAACCCTAACTCCAACGTGGGAGGGGGAGGTATTGTTGAAGGATTAATCCAGGCTCAAGACCAGCGGCTCCTTCGAACCTACCTGACGTAAAACCCGAAATTTAGATGTCTAAAAATTTTTGTCATGATGGAAAAAGGAAACAAATTTTGAAAATTATAAATAGACGAAAACACAGATAATTTGTCACTGAAATAAACTCATTTCATGTACATAATTATATGCAAACAGAATAATAATTCACAATGAATCAAAACGGAATTAATTTTGAAAGTCCATTTTTTTTTTTTTTTTTTTGCGTATAAAGACACACGTTTACTTTGCTCTGAGCTGTACATAATCCTGAAAAAGAAAACAATTGTAAGAAACATTTACATAACTTTCTGTATAATATGAGCGAAAATATTTCAATATTTTCGGAAATTTCACATCTAAACGGCTTGACAAATAAACCTCGAATGCCCGCTTTACTAATTACAAGAAACTCGTGCACTATTGCCGCCAAAAACATAACTTCCGATTACTTCCTTATAAGGAAATACTAAGTTACGGTGTATGATTCCGATAATAAATACATTTATGCTCTAATTCGTTACACTCAAACGAGCATAAATCATTTACATTCTTTAATAATACACCTTTGAAATAATAAACAACACAACACAGAGTTTAAAGAGGCTAGAGGGAGTATTTGTAAGCCGTCGAAAATAAAGAACGGGACAAGTCACAGTACACCTAAATTTTCTAAATTTAAAGAAAATAATTCATTAAAGTTAACATATACTGTAATGCTTCATAAGTTAAAACAATTACATGAGTATAACAAATTGAAAATATAACATCTAAACAATGCGTTTTTAAATGACTTTTTTTTTTTTTTTTTTTTTTTTATAAACCCAAGTTTTTTGTAACACTCAATTTTTCTTTAATGTTTTCAAGAACGTAACCGTCCTTAGCTTTGTCGCTTTTCCATCTCCCATGTTTTTTAAACAACCTGTCTGAAATATTGTTCATTGCGCTAACTGTCGCACCACCTCTTCTCAAACTATGTGTTCCATAATCATCCGCGTTAAGACCCAGAGAATTTAATAATTCCCTAAAAATTTCTCTACATCGTGTATAGGACAGACGACTAGAATTTCTAAATACGTATTCGTTACGTTTTTTACAAAAGGAAAGTTGACGGAAGAGATAAAAATCGTCGTTAACTGAAATATTGCCCTTTTTGAAAAATATTTGCAAAATGTTATAGGGACAAGTAAAGACCCAGAGAATTTAATAATTCCCTAAAAATTTCTCTACATCGTGTATAGGACAGACGACTAGAATTTCTAAATACGTATTCGTTACGTTTTTTACAAAAGGAAAGTTGACGGAAGAGATAAAAATCGTCGTTAACTGAAATATTGCCCTTTTTGAAAAATATTTGCAAAATGTTATAGGGACAAGTAAAATTGTCAGTTTTCGAAATTTGAATTATTTCCCCTTTGTTGGACTGATCTGTTTTACTTGATCGTACTTTCACTTCGAAATAGTTTGCATGGAAAGTAATATCACAACACTTTAAGCTATATAGTTCGGAAACCCTCAAAAACCCTGCAAAACCTAATGTTACAAAAACTAGCGATCTTAGATGATACAAATTTGCTTCGTTTGGAGGATGCTTTCTAAACATATCTTGTATAATAACAGAAGTTATAGGTTTTTTCTTTTCGATAGGCTGACCACATATTTTCCTGGCAGAATCTAACATAAAAATGACTATTTTAGAACTACATGGGTTCTTAACTTCCGAAATGTCATGTACCCATTTTAAACTGTAAAATACTTTTTCAATTACCGAGAAAGAACTTTCATTTTGTATCATTGATAACAAAAATAGTGCTACATGAAAATCCATGGCTGGAAAAAGTTGATTAATATCCATTCGTTTACACCATGAAATCCACTTATTAAAGTATGTTGTATAGCTTTTTCTTGTGTTATCTGCTCTACTTTGTAAGATCGTATTCGGTAAATCGTTAACGAGGGACTTCAATTTTGAATTTCCCTCTGTTAATTTGTGTATGTCTCTCCAAATTCCAAATTTAAAAATTTCTGAAAACCAAAATAGTTTTCTATTATTCAAAAACTCTAAATAAAAAACTGCATGCTTGATATCTGACTGTAAATACGTTAAATGCACGTTTAAAGATATATCGAAAAAATACGTGATAGCCAATTATAACCCAGCACATCTAAAATCTAAGCTAACCTTAGTATTCTGAAAAGCTAACCTTTGTAGCTTTGAACGGTACAACTATATGTATTGCTAACCTTTGTAGCTATTACAAGCAAATCATTTAAAGCTTAAAATTTGCTTAAATAACATATATACTCAAACACAAGCTAACCTTTGTAGCTACGAGGCTCCTGTGACCTCTTTTCAAAAAACAACAAAATAATGCAATATTAACCGAAAACAACTAACTTTAAGCGAGAGAAATTAAATAGAATGATAACTTCTATATCTAGGATATGATTACGTGGCATCTAGCTTTATAGCTAAAATAGACCCTCTAAAGTTAGGAGATCCAAGTAAAGATTTTTTGTTTTCGCCAAATAAATATGGCACCGGTCTGCCCAAGAGGCATCTATGCTTTAAGAGTAATCGCTATTCGCCACCGTTAACGAAGGTATACTCGGTTATACACGGATTTACTGTTACGAGTATTTAGCTCCAATAAGCTCTATTGTAGCACGAGTATGTACGAATAAAGCACGGACATACTGGGTCAAGCAAGGTTTCAACACGATTTGCATAGACATTGGTGTGTCCCCCAGCTCATCAGACTCGACAGGGTCAGCAGGTTGGAGTGGCCGGTGGGCCTGGATAGCCCTTCTTATATTCACTCTGTGCGTGGGAACTTTCTTCTTTCGATGCATTCTAGTGTGATGCAGCAATTACTCTGGGTAGATATAGCTGTTGAAGGTGGCAGCAGGTAGTTGTGGTTTTCGTTGTACAGGAGACCGTGTAAGACCGTGCGAGGCGGTGTGAGACCGTGTATACCCGTACTATTCGTATGATTCGTACTTGAACCGTATTGGGTGTATGGCGATTGTATGAAACCGTGTATGCACTCGTGTGAATCGTACCGTGATCGTGTGACATTCGAGTATTAATCGGGTGTTGGTTGCAGGACTTGGGGACGGTCTCGAACGATTCTATACTATTTATATACGATCTTGACACGGTTTGGCTCACCCGTGGAATGGACTTAAATAACGTTGTATATACGGTCTCATACGGTATCTTACGGTCTTGTACGGTCGCTTATACGATCATACACGGACATCACAACCGTGCCAGTTTGTTTTTTTTTTTTTTTTTTTTTTTTAAAATCATACACGACTCACGCAGATACACTCGAATGATCCGAGTGTTACTCGGATAACGCCACGGTTGGTTCGGTTGTATATACGGTTTACAATGGTGGCCAACCGTATAAGCCGTGTATTCTGTGTGAATCGGGTATTTAAAATGTGTATGTAAATTTTCGGCAAGAAAGTACCTTTTACATATTTCAACAAATTGTTTATGGTTATTATTGCTATTCGCATCTGTAAAGAACAGAAATTAAACAGAGTTTTAAGTAATTACTTGGAAGTGTTGATCCATCCATTATATTAAATATGTTAAATTTGGCTTTTAGTATGTAAATTCAAATAAAGTAAAGTGATAATGTATACTTTTTATTTTCATTTGCTGGTTTTTATTGCAAATCGAATTGTATTATGGAAGTAGGTAAAGCTTAAGGAACGGGATCGTCAGAAAAATTAACTGAAACTCATTGACAGTTTGTATTGATTAAAGGTCTTCGGGGGCTTTGAAAAGTTTGAAGATAACTTTGAAGAAGTTTTCCTGTTTATACAATAGAACTTGTCGTAAAACAACAATAGAACTTGCGCGTACTGTTTTGGCGAAGTTCATGTCTTACTTTGATATGATGACAATCTATATATAAAAACAGTAATACTTCATATTTCGTACCTTCTGTGTGATTTCTAGAAAATATTGAAAATACAAAAGACATGCTTTGGATATTTAAAATGTCTTGTCCTAAGGATTGTTTTGTTTTGAAGAAAATCCATTAATAAATAGCAAATTTATAGACAATAATAGGGGAAAACGCAAGTAAAATTCAATAATTTGACCTTCAATGTCAAGGTTATTGATGAGTGAAGCTTATAATCAAATCAATTTAATTTACATAAAGGTCTTGTGATAAGGATTATTGTGTCCAAGTATGAAGAAAATCCATTTATGAATAACTATATAAGTTATAGCCAATCATAGCAAAAAAATGATCAAGCAAAATTCAAATATTTGACCTTGAAGGTCAATGTCATTTTAAGTAAAGATCAAGTTCAGCGTAGTCAACTTGAAAGTCTTGTCCAAAGGGCTGTTGTGTCCAAGTATGAAGGTAATCACATGAGAAATAAAAATGTTATGACCACCATTATAGTTTTCGGATGTCAACGACAACATGACTGTAGCAAAAAACCCATCTTTTTAAAAGTCGAGATGGTGGACTGAAAATGATTGTTATCAATGCAGTAAAGCAAGCTGGAAACAAGGAAAATGGAGGTTCATTAAAACTTACTTAAAATACAAAATAAAGCAATATGGAAATGCTTTTATCTTTAAATGTAATCTTTCGAAAAAAAACGTTAACAGTAATTTATTTCCTCATAACTCGTTCATGAATTATGTTGTTCTTCCTTGTTTCACATTCATCATGAGCAAAATAAATACAAAGAATACCTAAATGATAAAGTATTGAATAATTCGAGCATTAATATTGCCAACTTGACTGATAACGTTTGTTTTATGTATACAATGTAAAATGTTTCGAACACTTGGTGTGACAAAAACGTTCAGACTGGAAAATGAAAAAAGTCAAAAGTATGAGTCACAATGGTGATTTGTGACGAACTAGAGTGCCGTGTGACAATTGCGTTTGTGAAAATTTAGGTTCAATATAGCTTTATGCTTTTTTCTTTTGGTTAAATATGTGTGATTTTTGTTGTAATAATTTGAAAGACTTCGTTCATTGTTTAGGTGGGTACGTGCCTATTGGGCGTTAACGAGGCTTGCCACAATTTGCTTATTATAATGCTTTTATAAAACCCATTCCTGACGATTTTTAATAGTACATGTATGTCATAGGTTCTATTATTCTAAGATTGATTCCGATTATCAGATATCTGCCACATTCATACTGTTAACGAACTATATTTATACTTAAAGGAAGCCATTTCTTATTCTGCAAATATTACATCAATTGGTAAAGCTAATTTCAATCCGCTCAAATCGGTGAGGTGTTCTGACAATGAAATGGTGGAGCAGTAATGGCATAATTCATAAAGCCTTTGACCACGCAGGACTCGACAGGAGTTGTTAAGAAATCCCTTTCAAATAACGTCAGTTATTATGACAGCTCTATTGACTTTGCTGATGCAACATTTCAGTGATTGATTATGTTGTCTTAAACAAAAGAGGAATTTTAATTAAACTTACGTTACAGATTTTGCAGCAGACGTACAATACCCATGTATATACATGTACCAGCAAGGTTTACCTGAAAAAGTTGCATTCTATCAAACAAGACAGGGTAAATGTCAATATTCAATTACCGACCAAGAATTTATCAATATCACATACAAGTAGTTAGTTATGTATTACATCAGGGAATTGTTTTCCACAGAATCCCAGTAAAATATATGTTATATTGAGACAATTTACTATTGGGCAGGCATATTGCTGTAGAAAAAAAGATAATATAGAAATTGAAGAAATAATGAGAGTAGATTTATAATTGTAACACCATACAAATATGAAAAATCCGCGCTTAATTCAGTTGTTTCGACATATCATCTACAGAGGTTTATACCCTATAAACCAATTTTCCTTTATAAGATAATACATCGCTGCAAAAAAAAATCTCCATAAATCTACAATATTTCAAGCTAACACCAAGTTAACTGGTCCGAGCGTATGTCATGTGGGTTATATTTATTTAAATTATTGTTTGCATCATCTTAAGGACGTTTTCGGGAGTTTAGACATATTGACAAATAGGCAAAATTAAAACCGTTCTATAGAATTTCTTTTAACTTGGCATGTTGTTAGAATATGATAACAGAAACATTTTAAGCGAAAACAAATTGGGGTGACCGTTCTCGTTTTTGAGTTATCTGCCCCTGAACCAGAATTTTCTATTTATTTGAGGTCATTTAAAGGGCAGATAACTTATACATACGTAAATGAATTTTTGTTTTTACTTCTGGATAGTGTTTTTTTATTGTTGAATACAATGCATAATTACATGCAATTCCTTATATCGTTTCTGTTAATTTTTTCAATGAAAACAAAGGTACTTTAAATCTATAAAAAAAATAGGCTAATTGTTAAGAAAAAAAGCATAGGTTAAGAAAAGAAGTGGGAAAAAAAACTATCCACTCTAAATTTGTCCTTGAAATTTTGCATATTGACTAAGACGAAGGTACGAAGCTTCATGGAAATAAGAAGAAAGTTTCACTTCATTGTAAATTTTGTAAATTATCTGCCCTTGAATTTAACAAAAAGTCCAAATCAAAGGCAGATAACTCGAAAATGAGAACGATGACCCATTTTTTCCTTTTAAAACGTTTCTGTTATCATATTCTAATAACATGCCAAGTTTAAAGAAATTCTATTGAACAGTTTTAATTTTGCCTATATGTCTATATGAAAACTCCGGAAAAACATCTTTAAACAACATTTATACAAGACGGATGGTGTAGTGCACGTGTTATTTAGGGTATCACATGTATAACTGACAATCTGAAAGAGATACTTTACATTACATGTATTTAATTTTATTATATTCTTGAAAAAACAACAACGAAAAACAACAAAAGTTAACCATCTTGTTTGAAAAACGTTGACAATTTAAGATAAACATCTGTATCAGTTGTAAAGAATAGGAAAGATATGTTATTGACTGATCATCGGAAAACAAGAGCTCGCAATAAAGGTGATTCATACCCCGCCATCCACCTCAACTATGTCTGATATTAGTGGTATGTAGCAAAATTTAAACTTCACCTGTATTTTATTATGTATCATATGTGAATCAAAAATTATTACAATTCAAACCAAAATCAAAACGCAACAAAAAAAATGTAAGAGATGTCGTCTGTAGCCAATATTATTACTGACTTATATTTCAGAAAGTTGCACTTGTATACAAAATAGTATAACAATACATTGTTTCATCTCACTCTAACGACAAACGATTTTTTCTATTTTCTTGACCTTTACAGACCGACATGTAATCTAGCACACATAGCTAGCGATAATTTTAATAAGATCAACTTTTTAATGTACATTAATCCCGATAACGTAATAGTTATCATTTGTCTATATCAGTTTCAAAGCAAATTCCAGAAAATGATCATTAAAATTTTGAAAGTGAGGATATGACATTGTTTTATATTTTCTCTTTTCTTTAACTGAGAAAATAAAGTGTGTCTTCAATTCATAATCTCTTAATACTTTGTAATCACCGAGTGTATGATGTATCATAAAGGAATATTCATATCATATTGCTCTTTATTCGAAGTATTCATATTACTACAGTGGGGCTTCTGTAAAAAACCAAACTGACATTTTACGAGTTTCATGAAGGTCTGTTTGAATGTACAATTAAACATTGTGTAAATAATTGGATTGATTGTTGAACTTATCCATCCTAGCCACATACATGTTGAGAGCAATACATTATTGAAGGCACACTCTTTGCATAACACTCTTAAGATATTTACAACAAAGAATGGTGCCCAACACATCACGAATATAGCAAATACAAATCCTAGAACTTTTGAAGCCTTTTGTTCTGTTCGGACTCTTGTTTTGTCACTGTTTTTAGCTCTAGCCAAATTTAAAATACTTGAAGCTTTGACAATTATTTGTTTCGCCATTACCTGACGAAGTGAGCCTTTTCTATTCATTTCTGCAGCAGGTGTGAAATGAGAGCATGATTTACCGTCATCGTCCGAATAAGTCTCATTGTCACTTATGAGTGATTCTGATGACGTACCATTTTTGTGATGACCAGGTACACTAAGAAAACATCTGCTAGAGTCGGCCACTGGAGATACAGCAGACGAGCAAACAACGTTACAAGAGGCTGACTGAGGTATAAAACTTGAAATTGGTAACTCCTTTCCACACTGAGATATATGAATTCGACTTCCGCTTCTAGAACACATCTCGTACTGAAAGTCGTCACGTGAAGTTGAAAAACTTCGCCTTACTTGAGAGGGGGATAAATCCTCTTTACAATGTTGACGGCTAGATTTCACTCTGCGTAAAATCGGTTCACCAGATTGTTCCGGGTTTCCGCTTGGATCATACAGTTTAGACTGTTTATATAACAATCTGATTGTAAGCCCGTAGGAAACTACCATGATTACAAGCGGAATGAAAAAGGCAAGAATTGATCCGTAGATAATAAATCCTTTATTCCTTAACATACACTGTTTATCACTCAAAATATTTGATTGATCAAGAACACCAAGTACCGTGACTGGGCTGGATATGGCCGACGCAGTTATCCATATAAGACTTATTTTCAGGAGCACTATCGACTTTGATTTGTTGCGAGACTGTAAAGGATTCCTTATTGCAAGATATCGCTCCAAAGAGATACTGCAAAGATGTAGAATTGATGAAGTACACATTAGAACATCTGATGTAGTATAAACACTGCATAATATGTGGCTGAATCTCCAGTATCCTGAAAGTATATGAAAATATTAGTTTAACAAATAATGTATGATATATTTCATATTGATTTACCTACATACCATTATTTCTTTAAAGCGTGAGATACATCTCACTTCAGGGACTTCTTTATCCATTTATCACCCGGAGTACATAAGACGTGAAGATACAGTGTTTCATTTTACTAAAAGCAAACACAATATAACTTCAATAAAAACCAAATCTAATGTAAGTATCTATTAAAAGTTTATACCATCAAAATGAAAATCAATGAATATTAAAAAAGATATTAAACAAAACGTAAACAAGGTACAGAAAAACAAACCATCCGGATCTAACAGAACGTTATTACAAATATAAAATGATCACCAACAACATCTAATTATCAGCGTCACATTATCCCCAACATATCAGTATCACCAGAGTCATCAACATAATATCAGTACCAACATTGTGTTAATCATCGAGATGACGTATCAGACACAATAACAGCTGTTCTGTTCGTGTGTATATCATTGTGTTCAATATGTAATAAGCTATTCATAACGTGAATATCATTGTGTTCAATTGTGTCCATGTTGCATACCAAAAGCACTGATGTCATCATGAACATGTTACACACCGGACAGATTGATACACACGGACACACGAACAGAGCAGCATATTACACATTGAACAAAATGATGCACACGAACATAACAGCTTAATAATTACACATCGAACACAATGATATACACGAACAGAACAGCTTATTACACATCGAACACAATGATATACACACGAACAGTCTGTTGCCATGTGTTAAAATAGAATACAATAAAGTTGTTACTGAAAGTTAAGGGAATTCCATAAAAACCCTGAATCGTGCAAAATAAATAAGCATTCGATATATAAGCAGCAAGCGTGTGTGGCGCCGTTATTTGTTGCAACGCCGCTAATTGTCGCACTTGCTGCTGAATGTCGCACCATTGCCGCTTAAACCGCCGCTAAATGTCGCAAATCAATGGTAACGTTAACTATCGCAACACTACCATTTTAATGCCGCATTTATGCTAAAATTAAGTTAGCTAGTGGTATTACATTAATACCTATGTTAGTATATATAATACCAAAATTTTGGGTATATAAAGGTCATTATGGCAAGATTTAGGTCATTATTCAATTTTGGCCGCCTGGCTACTTGGCATTATTATTTTTTACAAAATTGCGAAATCTGCTCTCAGTGACTTTCGAATAGTTGCTGTCGTTTAATGAAAAGCTGTAGTCACTTGCACGAAGGGGCTCTTTGGCATATAGAGATTCAACCAATTGTTTTGTACTACACTGCAAATCCTTGCATATCTAGATAGCTAGTCCTCGGATCACCTACGTTAATATTGACATAATATCAGTTGTTTTTCATGAATCTAGTTATTGCAATAATTAACTGTTAAATTGTAACATAAAAGGGAAAATAGTGCGATATTTAAGGTCATCATTGCGATACTTAACGTCAAAATATTTTGAGATGCGAAATTTAGTGGCTATAGCGCGACATTTAGCGACAAGTGCAACATTTAGCTTCGTTGCGACATAACTATAACGGCGCCACAAGCGTGTTTTTGTATAAAGTACTACTAGTGTATAAAATTTCAAAACTTTTCATGAGTTTATTCTCATAGAAAGCTTATAACCTACAGTCAGAGTACTGTTGATGACTTTTAACAAACTTTTGAATGTCTGTTATAAAAAAAGTTTGAGATTTTTTGGACAAAGATAAAATGTGTGTCTTCAACATATCACGGCTTTGATTGAAGAGCCGTGATTAAATTGTGATAATTAATTAGATATAATACATTAATTGAAATAAGAAAAAGAATGTATGAAATATTTACCAAAGAAGTCGTTCATGATGCTGATTGGCATAACAATGATACATACATGAAGATCTGTCACCGCTAATGAAAACAAGAAGTAGTTTGTCACAGTCTGTAAACGTTTTTCCATCGAAACTGCCATACACACTAAAACATTACCCGTGATTCCAAACAGTATGATAGGGACGAGCAATATCACTCCCCAGTTATACGTATCTGCTAAAGTATTACTTAAATAACTTGAATTCAATGACATTTTAGCTGAATGATTTTCACTGTTTATTGCCAAACTTTGTAGATAATATATAAAAACTAATTATTCGCGTATCTCACAAAATCCAATGCTATGTAAATAATAAATACAAATTTAAATTCTACAGAAGTAGAATTAAAGTATCTGACGGCACACATAGCTGCACATTTAATGCAATTCAGATATTATTTTAACTTTCTATGTTGCTTTTTATTAGTATTCCTCATTTCACGTCTTATAACCAAGAAGAAAACAGTAAAGAAATAATTGAAGTGTTTAAGTGCAATATCTTTCGAAAGATCTATATTTAATTTCCACCTCTAACATCAATAATATCAGGAATAGAAATACTAAAGATCCCGCTAGTATTTATCGATGTCCCGTTTCGCTTAGCAACCATTGTTCCGTAGATACGACGCTCTATACCGGTGAAACTGTTTCATCCAATATGTCCGCAGATGATGAAATAACATTGTATATTGGTTACAATCAACAACATCAGTGAGGTGACAACAATTATAGAAAATCAAACTTGGTATTGTAGCTTATATCCCCGACCAGTGGCGTATAGAAAAACATTCAAAAAGTTGTGTAATTCAATCATTTTAAGATTACCAGCAGGTATGCCAGTGATTGGGCAATTACATCTGCATGTTTATATAACATTGTTTATTTTCCTCAGTCCACTTTTCATATATAAGGGAGCAAGGAATCACCATAATCCCGTCTATACAAAACCTCACAATCACAATTTGTAATCTTCAATCTGAATTAGTGTTTGAAATTATTTTTTTGTCCAATAAGATTGCAGTATTTCAAATGAATCGTTGGTAAATCGGCAAGCTGTAATCAATCAAGTAAAAAGACTGCTTATACAAATAATTTAAAACACTAAGCTGGTTAAGATTTATTAGTACGTCGCGCCTGACCAATTAAATTTTGTAAAAACTTACTAATAAAGTTAACTTTACCCTATACATAAACGCAGTTAATGAAACTTATCGTCGTTTGCTCGATAATATAATTCACGCACGCACGCACGCACGCACGCACACACACACACACATACACAAAAACAGCAATTCATTCTCCGAAATGTTACAAAAATCAACAACTTATACATGCAGACTATTTTTCTTAGAAATCTATTGTTCGTTACATAACTACTTTGTGTTGAGGAAACAACAATTTATGAATATGATAAATATTTAATGCGTATAACAAATAATACTTTATGTCTTATAAATGCAGCAAGAAGATATTTATTAAGTCGTCCAGGATAATTTGAATCGCAAATTTCAGCTTATCGGTGTCTGATATTTTAATGAAGTCTCCTAAAGCTAAACTCATTAAAATAGAAACAGATTTCAAGAACATGTCTTACATCAGCAAGAAAAACAACATGGTTTAGTTCTTTTATTCGGTCAATATTATATAACTTTGTTTTTATTAAGGGATATCGTTTCCGAAAAGTCTGTACACGATGGGAAAAAAGTAATGCAATTAGGGAAAGAATCTTATTGTTTAATCGCGACAGTAGATCCAATATTTAAAAATAAATCGAACATTATATTACATACTACGGTACCTACTCATTAATTGATCTAACAGATAGACAAAAGTTATAGCACAGAATATTAAAGAAAGGGAAAATAAAACAAACAAAAAAAATCAACAGAACCAAAATATTCAGACTTCATCTTTACAAAATACATACACATGTACATCAGAGGACTGACAACTTTGTCTGACTAAAGTGGTCAGTGTACCGCGCATAATCGACACGCTTTTATCGGGCATTAAATAATTATAATACCTCGTACAATGTAGATTATTTAATGGTCAAAGTATAATGTTATATTTGTTTATCTATTACTTAAAATATGAATGTACTCAATTGAATGTACGTGTACATGTATTTTCTGTTGCTCTATTTATTGACTATTTTATGTTGTATTTTACGTTATTGCACTGATAAAGTCACAGATTTCTATCCTTTATGTTAACAACTGAATTGTTGAAATATATTTTCCCCCTTATGAAAGTGTACGTTGTTTTTATCTGCATGATTCTTAAAAAACAAAACAAAGGAAAAAACACAATGATTTATTTTCCCCATTTGTCATGTACATGATTATGATAAAGACAGTACAGAGCTGCATGGAAACTGTTTCTATCGTGGATGATATAACAACATGTAGTAGTCGCTTCTATCATCAACACCAGGTAAAACAAGAGCCTGATGCTTTATCCCTCCATCTCCAAAAATATATTAATACCTTGAAATAATGATTAAAAAAGTTACATATTTCTATTATTCGTAAGGAAGGAAACATCGCGCTTTCAGGGTAATGTACGTTTAGGTGTTCATTGACCGCTGTACAGTGGTTTATTTTCGGCTCAGAATTCATCCTTTTCGCATATACTCTGCAAGGTGAAATGTCTGGGCTCGTACTCGACTGCCAAAGCTATCAAGCAGATGAACCCTTGTTAAGCATAGACTATAGACAGACATGTGTAATGCAGGCACGTACATAGTGTCCTTCTATCATTGTTCCTTATTTTCAGATAATACAAAGTGGATTTTATGTTAACTATATGTCCACAATCAACATTTATTTCATGATTTTGTATAATGTGTGTTTCAACTTAAAATAGAGAGAAAAAAAACACAAATTCAAATGTAAGGCTTAAGTATTTGTAGCTATAAAATATTCAAAAGGAGACTGCCTACATATACATGTACATGAAAATGACATACTAATTTGCATGACAATGGTGTATGCGAGACATATTCCGATTGTAAATCTTTATTTCCTGCCAACACTAGTGACGATAAATCACGTAATATACACTTATAAGTACCAAAAAACACTTTAATGTTGAATAAACGAACACAAAAAAAAACGAAACTAAAATATTGAACAAAACAGGAACAAGCTCGAATTACACTCAAGTGATCAAAGTTTAAATACATAATAAATCAAAAGATCCACGTGAAGCAAAATATATTTGGTACATGATCTTTATCTTGTTCTACATGTTCTAATGTATTGCAAAACAGTCTCATTTTAGTCAAATTGTACAACCCAATGGCGGATAAAGCTCTCTACTGCATATTTACCCATGTTCATCACACATGTGAACAAGCTTCTCCACTGAATAAAGTATATTTTCATCACTAAGCATTTAATTTAGTATTCAAAAGGCATGGGTGTTAAAATGTTAGAACTGGCAGTTCACTACTGCATGAGGCCGAATAATCATCGTTCATAGACATTAAATTCTTCTTTGAATTTATAATGATTTAACATTATATTTTTGTTATATATTTACATTTTTCTCTTGTCTATTTAATTCACATAATATCGTTTTCTTATTTACTGATAGTTTTGTTTCCATTAAGACGCCGCGTTACGTCATAATTTTATCTGAACGGAAATGCAGTTATCATAACAATTTCAAACGTTCATACTTGTAAGCATCACGACGATATATTTAAAATGCCGCAATGTCAGAGCTAAAGATTGTGTTCTTCCATAAATAGAGAATGAACGTCCTGTTTAGTTAATATATTAAATGAGTGGAAATGTATTAAACATATATTTGCTGAGGTTAGCGTCATAATGAGTTTCTCAGGATTTTAACCTTCTTCAGACTACGCTTTTTGAACATTTGTAAATCATATACTATTGAAGGTCTTTCTGATTAAATACCGGTTTGTCTATAGCAAGGCGGCCAAAATTGCATGATGACCTTAAGCTTGCCATACTGGCCTTGAAATACCCTAGATTCTGTTACTATATATAGTAACATAGGTATTTATGGGTCTTTAATGCGAAGTAAAATGAAATGAAAATATGTATCAGCATAAAATGTATTTTAAAAAATGAAAATTTAAACAAAAAGTTTTTGTTTGTCTGTGGTGACGCTTTTCTATGACTTTCTGTCCAAAATTTTACTTTTCATTCAAAGTACAGTACAATTATTAAACTGTCGAGTAACTTTTTGATATTGATACATATGATACTGAAAAATGCAATTACCTTCGCTGTTTGCTACAAAAATAATTATCAGCAAAAGGCAAATGGCGTAGAACTAGTAGAATAAAATAAAAATTCCAAAAACCCATTTGTTAGTGTTCATTACTGCTGTGTCGTTCTTACTATGTAGCTTTTGCCCCTAATAGTATCTCATTTTCAGTATAATATATACATTTTCAGTATAATATATACATTTTCAGTATAATATATACATTTTCAGTATAATATATAAGCAATGGCTTTTATCCTTAGCCTAATTAATAAAGTCAAGTATTTTTCATGATGTGTATGCAGAGGAAAGTTACTTTACGAGTATAAGCCGGAGTCACATTGAATTAAGGCTTATTTACCTCTATCTGTTAAATTATGACCCACCCACGCGTTAAAAATTGGCCCCCGTCTGAAACTGATAAACTATTCACAAAGACAAATATGGCGGTGACATGTGAGTGTGTGTTTTTTAATTAATCCCGTGTGCGCTGGATACTGTGCCTACAAGACTACAGGCGGGATGTAGCAAAACCTAAATTCTCTGCTTCTCATACAAAGCTTGAACCAAGGCTGGTCGGTGCGCAGGTGCATTACCATGGAGTAATCTGATCTTGCACACCCGTACCTTGGTTTTAAACAACAAGCAGCGAGGACATGGACTCGTGAAAATATTCCAATGGCACCTCCACTCTCAGGCACAGCAACATGAACCATTATTCAATCACTGTCAAAAAGTAGAGAGTACAGACCTCGTTTAATGCCCCTGCTGAACGATTACTCTTTTTTAAAGCTGCACGCCTCCAGCTGAGCAAAAATATTTCAAGAAAATCAATATTGAGAAAAATTTACTAACATTTTAAGAAAGGTAAAAACATTCACGATCCAAGTAAAATTTTACATCACCATATTTCTACGTTACTAACGCAGTAAGGGCTATTTTTGCATATGTAGACATTTTTTTGATATTTTCTTGAATGTTAAGTGCCGGTTGCAACATGTAAATTACTTTATTTGTTCACCTTACAATATTTTACTTTTAAATACATTTTCAAAATGTTCATAAAAATTAATATGAATCTGGAGGCGTGCTGCTTTAACTTACATTTTGTTACTGAGTGCTAATGTCTTTTTCAGAAGAAGCGGCATCTAGCTGCTTCTCCATAAACAAAATCTCGATTCGTTTTTATTTCTGACGCGCATTTACCCATTAACGCACACATTTTGCATTAAGCTCTTTGTTCCACTCAATGCAACCCAGCCTTGTATTTAAATGACATGCTAAACTTTTATTTCACGTGCAAATCGTGCGAAAATAGACTGTTGGTTTGACAAGTCAATAATCTTTCCAACGGTATATTTTACATGTACTTTCACGTGCAATGAGTTGTTAATATGCCACTAGTATTGGTTTACATGTTACAAGCGCTGGGTTCAAGGCGTGAAATATTTTAGATTTTGGTAGAAATAATCACTATATAATTATTATTATTATTATTATTTTTGTTATTATTATTATTATTATTATTATTATTATTATTATTATTATTATTATTATTAAGCAATTTGCATATTCAAAACAAAAGGAAAAATAACTAATTTTCGGTTTGTTGAATCGTATTGTTTTTTCTCTCATTCTTTTCAATATACAATGCACAGTCACGCCTGTTTTTACAGACTACTAAAGGA